AAAAAGAAGAAAATTAGAAAATGAAAAAAAAAAGAAGCCAATTTCTTTGATTTTATGATCTTTACGAGCGCCTGATTTCACCACGATGCCATAGATAGCCTATATCATATATAGCAAGGAAAACATACCACGATGATAATTATTATGCTACAATTTGGTCAGCCAGGGAAAAAAACCCAACAAAAAACAAAGCAACTCAACATAATTAGCATAAACCGGAAACATGTCCCTCTCTAAGTTTTTGTACAGTAGCTGCCTTTCTTTCTATCTTTCTACACTCCGAGACCACACTGGGCTCCCACACACCGAAACTGCTGTAGGCTCCTGGACTGTTCGGTTCTACCTCCATCGTAAAACTTTCAGAAAAGCATCTCTTTTGTTCTAAGACAATGCATCGTTATCTTCTTTCCTAGAAGAGTTTGTTATGCTTAACGTCTCCGTTGGTAAAATTGTTCCCGCATCCTATCCGGATATTGGGGATAGCCTTGTTAGTAAGACAACTTCATGGGCCTTCGGCATAATGTGATAGGGTGGCCAGTTCCTTTCTACGCCGCCTTTATTTCCCCAACTCGAAGTCAAGTACCCATTGCTGTTGGTTGGGTGGTTAAGAGGGGGCGAAAAAAGTCCCGCGTCCGAACCGAGGCTCGAACCTGGACCTTCCGCTTCGGAGACGAGCGCACTAACCGCTTCATCACTTCACCCTCTGTTGGTATGATTTCTATATTTCCGGCAGCTGGCGGCTTTGATCCGACACAGATCGTCTTAGACGACAGCGCAATTTATGATTATCAAACCTGTAACCATTTTTTAAATCTGAGAACTGACTTTCGGAGGGGAACTTCACATGTCTCTTTAATAAGAGTTTGAGCGTCTGTGATCCGCTTAAAAAAACCACAAAAAAAACTGGTCGATGTTACGGAGGGGGAGGACAGAATAAACTCTCCTTTCTACCGACCACAAGCGGGTCTGAGTTTTTCAGCGTCTACATCGGCCACGGCGAAATGTCCTTAGTCCATTACAGAATCTCCCTCTCGCACCACGGTTGCTTCCTTGAATGCATCAACCGCCTTACGTCATTGATAATTTCCAAGCGGTGCTCACTGGAACCGGCGTTTCCTTGCACTCATTTATTGACCCTCTTAGCCACACAGGCTAAAGTCCTAGTACTTAAAATGTGAACAAGTGTAGAACAAACAACCACTATAGCCTCTCGCGACGGGACAGTCACGGGTGGCCACAACAGCCAGATGCCACCATAAAAGGAACCTCGTTAACGTGGCACGTCTCAGACAAAAACCAGTGGCGTGTGTCGCGTTCTCTCCTCTGGATCTCCGTAGTTGCTGGTAGACAGGAAGCTGGATCTCCGTAGTTGCTGGTAGACAGGAAGCTGGATCTCCGTAGTTGCTGGTAGACAGGAA